AACAGAATAATGAAATGGACAGAGGGGTTTGCTTGATCTAAGGAAGCTGACATACCATATCCATAATTGCAGGATTTGTTAACAGGGAACCCAAATCAAGTCCTCCTAAACCAGGTAAACCTGACAAAGATGCAATCAAAAGAATGTCCAATCTTTAGAACAACAGTGATTCGCCTTGTTAGTGTAGAACTATGCAGTTCGATAAGCAATGATTCAGCAAATTATAAAGTAATGAGTTTGGGTCAGGGGTGTAGACAATGGGTACAACAGTGTACAATGCAGGTTCATGATAATTTGGGTGAGAGACTTCTATTTTTCCCCCAAAATCCTCTTGGAATTTTGGACATCACCTGGGGTTTACGATTTACAACAAACAGTGGAAACATTCCTAAATGCTTTCACTCCCCAGATCTCATCTGATAATTCTCCTTGCTGTCTGTCATAAATTCTTATAATTATATGTAAGTTTGGAGAATTTGGTAATGGATCAACTAGCAACCCCCTCATTTAGATTTTCTTTATTCCCATCACTTGTCTACTTGATATTAATTCACATTATAAGGAGAAACTATTTCATGGTGATTCATAGGAGGTTAACAGTAAAATGTCATTGTCTCACCAGGCCAGCAGCACAGTAATAAATCACTTTTCTCTAAAGTGTATCCCAGTCCCACTCTTACCTCCAGCGGCAGGCCTTGCATTACCAGTTCCTCTTTGGGATTCGTTTAGTTTTTCCTCCACCTGTGCTAAACTGGTTTGGTAAAATGTACTGCCAGGTTCTAACTCTAATGCCTGTAACAAAAAGCTTATGTATTACTCAACTAACTTTGCAGAAAACACAATTTAAACTTATCCACAACTGATTAGGAATTGAAACGTTATCAACTTTGAGGATTTATAATCAAACTTCACAACAAAATTAAAAAAATTTAAAACAATGGTCCCATCAGTTTTGTTTACGCATGTACATGAAAATATAAAGAAATGGTTTAAAAAGTTTTAAATCACAGTACAGTAAAGAATTATATGCTTTACAAACTAAATGTTAGTGTTCTCAACCCTTTAACTTCCAAGAGCTCATTAGTAATTCTCCTTACTGTCTACCAAATGATTCTTATAATGTTAGTTTGGAGAATTTGGTAGCAGATCAATTAGTAATCCCATTATTCATATTTCTTCTTAATTCTTATCACTTGTCTGCATGATATTGTACAGATATAGTAAGGAGAAATTCTGTCTTGGTCACTCACAGGAGTTAAAAAGTTAAAAGCCAAATGATTATGATGGAGACAAATATTTCATATTTTACCTTAGAATAACTTTCCTTTGCTTTTTGGAAATTGTTCTGATTGTGGTATGATAACCTGAAATATTTTACATAATAAGAATCATGAGTCAAGCAACTTCAAATAGAAGTTCCAAGCTAACCAAAATCAATAATTTGATAATCTTTGCAGTAATGGTGACCAATCCAAACCAGAGATTATAGGTTTCCCAGTTTCCCTGATAACAACCATGGGTACAAACAAAATCACCAAGCTGTGGAATAGTCTCAGTTATTTTGTATAATTGCAATCATTCTCTATCTCTTTCATAAATTTAATATTAAATATCTTAGATCCAACAAACATTTTGTGCAATTGATACACAGTTTTTTCCTGCATGACAAAAATAATGCCTAACATTTTTGCCTTGATCCAATTCAACCCTTTTACGCCAAAGATCTAATTTTAATTAGTAATTTTCCTTACAGTCTTCTAGGTAATTCTTATTTTTGGAGAATTTGGTATTAGAACAACTAATAATCCCCTTCTCTATGTTTTTCTTTATTCTCATCACTTTTCTGGTTGATATTGTATTGATATTGTAGGGAGAATCCCTGTCTTGGTCACTCATTGGAGGTAAAAGGTTAACTTACCCCATTCGTCCATATGCCTTTCCATAGTTTGGGTCCAAACTTAGAGCTTTCTGACAGTCTTCTATTGCTTTTTGGTGTTCACCAATCTTGCCATAAGCTGCAGCTCTGTAAGGAAAAAAATTGCCATAATTAACTTTGAACTGGAAAATGTTTCTGATATAAAAACAAATTTTAGGTTTGAATGATTTCAAACTAAATTGATTGGTATCTATTGTTATTTTACGATGAGACTTATCTGTCTGAAGCAGAGAAAATATATGTAGTTGAATGTAACCTAAACCAGAAATTGTTGTAAGGGTCTTTTGCAATTGCCTAAGCATGGAATTGAGTGTACGAGATCATTTTAAAAGCTTGACTTTACATGAAATTCACCCTCGCCTTCAAGGATTACCCGTCAACTTGTTGTTAACTCCATTAAATTGCACTTAACTGCATCATAGTAATTGGAATGTATACCTGTTACATGGAAACACAGCATTAGAACTATCCAATTCAATAGCTTTGGTGTAACAGCGGATAGCTTCTTGGTACTTTTCTTCTTTCATCAACTGATTTCCTGGTATTAAGATTTTAACAAATTATATCATTATTTTGACAGGTGAGAGTGTTACAGGTTTTGTTTTATTTATAAGATTTATTGGTTGAAAGAGCCATTTACTTAAAAAGTCATTTAACAACTTATTTGGCCACTCTTTGAATTCCTGCGAGCTTGCAAAATTTGGGAAGAGAATGGTATAAATGGAAATTGAGAATGGAATGGAAAAAAAAAAGTTTTAAATAGGAGTAAAAAAAAATAGAACTCCTACAGATTATACCTTCTGTTTTCAGTTGTTCTGCTTTTTCTCTGTCTTCTCTTGTAGGCTGAGCAGCTGTTGTTCCACCCTTGGTCTGAAATTAATGCTTTTTTTTTTTAACTGAGATGCGTCCAGAAATGATTGCAGTAATGAAAATTGTGAAAATTTGCCAAATTGTCAAATCTGCCCAGCTGATTTTGCTTTTACCAATTTGAATATAACTAAACTACATAATCAAGCTGATTTTGCTTTGAAAAATTTGACTAAAATTTGCCAAAATCATCAAATCCATGAACATTCATTTGGTTTGACAAAATGCTGTCAAATCTGCCATTTTCATTACTGCATGCACTTCTAGACATAAAGGTTTTTTTTCCCTGTTTACAATGTAATACTGTAGCATATTTTGCATATCCTCATGACCTTATTTGGTAAAATGACAGTAGTAAAATACTGAAAACAAATCTTACATAGCCATCAGAATAAATATTATTAGGCTCATTTCTAGGTTTCTACATAATATAAAGACCTATAGGATATTCTTTAGATAGCTTTTTTTCTTCACTAGTGCTGAGGCATAAGCAAACCAAACCATATGGTTCCATTAAAATATGACTTGCTTTTGATTGTTTATCAGGAGATCCACTGAAGCAATTGAGTACAGACCTGAGTCGCATTTTTGAATATTTCTGCTAGAGGTTTGTCACTCTTCAATGCTGCTGTTTGTGATGGATCATTTCTGTTTATACCATAGACTGCTTCTAAACACTGGATTGAAACTACAAGAAAAAAAACATTCAAACACACAAACTGTGATAAAATTTACAAGAAAAGCTACACCACACATGCATTTTGATTGGTTCTTAACCCTTTCCACCCTCACATCCACATGTATATTCTCCATACTGTTCCCTAGACAATCCCTAAGGTGCTGACAAGGAGAATTTGTTTCATAATCCAGAGCATCTCTAGTTGGGGACCATTTCCTTCATTCTAATGATGTTAAGGTGTGATTTTGGGTTGATATAGCAAGGAGAAATTGGATGCTAGTCACTCTTAAGGGTTGAAGGATTAATTATGATCTATTGGAGGACAAGTGCATAGATGATATCCCCATAGACAACTTTCTGTTTCTTTATTACATTCAACAAATAGATTCCATCTTGCCGAGGGTCTCTACAGCTTACCATAATAGAATACAAAAGATGTCAAAATGTGAATTCTGAAATCAGAGAATGTTTTCAAATGCTGTGCATCTATACACTCATCCATTCTCCAGCATCCTCCAGTTAAGTCACCCACCACATCCCACCCCTCCCCCCTTCTCATCACCTGCCTGGAAGGAGGCATGATGGTAGATGTAAATATTGAGACGAGAAAAGATATCAAAAAGGAAACGTTAGATATGAAAATTAGCCAGAAAGGCAGTGCTATTAGCAGGAAGCAATAAAATACATTTTGATCATGTTTACGCCGAAATTAACAGAAACTGGAATTGATTGTGAGAAAGTGAAATTAAATTTTAAATCACATGCAATCTTATAATTATCTTCGGATATCATTTCACTTACATGGTTCAAAAAGTGTAAAAAATAATCATATTTAAAAAATCATAGAAGGAAAAGGAAATTTTTTTCTTGAATCTCTGTAAGCTGTTACATTTTAGGTCTAACCTTCTAAACTCTCCGCTGAGTCGCCTGTTATGGCACCAGACTTCAACTCCGACGAAAGGTGCTCAATAATAGCGAATGCTAGCTTTTGTAAATTTGACATGTCTTCCGTTAAGTTGATCGAGTGATTAAAATCCTTAAAACGTAGTGAATTAGTCAGAAAGGTGTTTAGATTCTGCCTTGAAATTAACTCACGTTTACCACTTTGGTTCCTGTTTAAAATGGCGGAACTTACTCGAACCCGCAATGTATGTGTACTGCGGCCAAAGGTTCTCATTCCAGTCTTTCTCGAAGATTTAACCTGGTTTATTCACACGTGAAACCAGTTTCGTCAGATGGTTAAACTCTTCTCTGGGTTCAATTCTGTCGCTCTTCTTCGATCTGTGGTACTTACACGACGTTTACATTGTCGTAGTTTCCTATCATCTCAAATTAGTGAAATTATGAAGCTTTACACCGACCGAGGAAATCCATTTCTGCTCAGCATTTTGGCAGCAAAAAATCTAGCAGGCGTTCCCCTTACTGTTCAATACATCAATTATGAAGGTCAGATAATTTTTTCCTCTAAAAATAGGAAAGCGAAACCGGAACTGGTGTAGTTTTCTAGCGTTCACCCAATTCTGTTTTTTCTTAGCACTAGATATGTCTTCTGAAACGAGTACAAGTTCAGATCTAAATATGTCATGGTCCATGACTGGGAATTACGCCTCTCTTTCCATCACCTTCATATATTTCCTCGTAGTAAATTCCTTTCTGATGCAATCAGAAGTTCGTAGACTTTGGAATTGAAAGTGTGAAATTGGGATTTGGATAGAATGTTGTAAAACTGGATTGGCAACAAGATAAACGAGCTGTAGATTTTAAATAAAGAGAAGCTAATGTCCCCCTAAGTACTCTCTCCAACTATAGCAACAGGTATTTGTTGTTCAAATTTAAAACCTACATGTATTCAGTTTTATAAAATATATTCCTCACTCTCATAATTAATGCAGCAAAAGAAGTATAACAAATTAGCTGATAATAGTTTAATTGGTTATGGGTATAATAACAACACTGTGTTACCTTTCTTTATCAGATGGAAGCAAATTTAATTGTCCTGGAAATAGGAAGGTTTGTTCAAAATATTTTATTTCACATGAAATAGCTTTGTCAAGAGTGAACCCATTGCTCTTGAAACTTGTTCCACTTTCTCTATCATGAACTAATCAGGAATATTTGATATCTTAAGAAGGAAATATATATATATATATATATATATATATACATATATATATATATATATATATATATATATATATATATATATATATATATATATATATATAAATCTTGATTATAGTCTCTCCTTGCCATATAGTGCTCAATGTGTTTGTAGAGCGTGGTATATCTGAAGGTTAGACAAATCAATAAGACATAACTTTTTTCATTAAAGCTGACAAAGCAAGCAACCTTAACAAAAGAACTGAATTAATTTCCAAATGCCACCATGAGAACAAATACTCCCTAGTGAACATCGACATCAGATTAAAATAGACATACTAATTCACTAACTGCTATATATGTTTAAACTTAGTGAGGTGTACTCCTCATTAAAATCTGTCTGATGATCACATAAGTGTGAAACTCAGTCACAGAAAAGTTATATCGAATTGATTTGTCCAACCTTCAGAGATATATATATATATATATATATATATATATCTATAATATATATAAATCTATATTTATAATTAGCAGCATTGCACTGATGAAGCCCAGAGGGCTGAATCAGTACTGTCGACAGTTATATATAGAACTATATATATATATATATTCAATAACTTTAGAGAGAACCAAAAGCTTATTCTGTAAATTTTCTTATAGCTTCCAGTCCTTGAAGCTGAACATGGAATTTTATTATACAGTACAAACAGTATATGCAGGTATACAGGTTTGGAAATATCATAAAAATATAGCATTTGTGTGTAATGATCAATATTTTATCATGACATAAATTTCTGTTTTTATTTTCTATCACTCTAACACCTAAATACATCAACTGACAAATTAATTGATTATTAAAATGATTCATTAATTAGTTAATTAATTGATTGCATAGAGGATATGGGCAGACCTTGGGGAAATGGTAGAATATAAGTTGTGGTCAAATTAAAGATAAATTCAAAGTGGCAACATTTTTATGTGTTGAATGTTCACTGACTCCCTTAATCATGCAGAAACTTCTTGCAATTGGAAGCTCTTATCAGAGCTCATTGGCTCCCCAATCATGCAAGAGACTACTTGTGATCAGGAGTTCTTATCAGAGCTCATTGTCTCCCTGATTCACACAAACTTCTTGCAATTGGGAGCTCTTATTAGAGCTTATTGATTCCCCAATCAACCAAGGAACTACTTGTGATCAAGAGCTCTTCTCAGAGCTCATTCACTCCCTTATTGACACACAATTTTCTTGCAATTGGAAGCTCTTATCAGAGCTCATTATCTCCCTGATTCACACACAAACATCTTGTGATTGGAAGCTCTTATCAGAGCTTATTGATTCCCCAATCAACCAAGGAACTACTTGTGATCAAGCAAGAAACTACGTAAGATCAGGAGCTCTTATCAGAGCTCACTGAGTCCCCAATTAACCAACAAATTACTTGTGATCAAGAACTCTCCTATCAACCAACAAAGGACATGTGATCTGGAGCTCTTATCAGAGCTCATTGACTCTCTGATGACACACAAACTTTCAGGTTTTCTTGGTGTTTCAAAAAGCACTTAACTGCTCCTAATGGCAAGTCACTGACCCCACAATCTGTGACTACAAAGCACTTACTTAGCAATGATCTCTGGGTATCAGGCCGCCATAATCTGATCTAAAACCTTTTGAATAGAGGGTGTGTTATGAGGTTGACATTCTGACTACATTCACATGAAACATTCAATGTGAAAAGTTTATTTAGGATGAGTTAGTCAGTTAATATTCTAGTGTACACATCCTGATACAATCTTAACAAAAAGAACCTGTGCTATGCCAGATACAAAAAACCACTCAAAAACACTCTTTAGATGTGACCAAACAACAACCCTTCACTAGATTCTGATGATGTCTAAGGTTGTAGAAACACCACTGTACCCTCCAAAGACTACTCTTTCCTGGACAGTCTAAAGATGCAATCACATATTTTGATTTTTGTGAGCTCTGGTATGTATCACAGTAACCTTTCATGTATAGGTATCTGTTGGACCTCAAGAGAAACTCAGAAGAAACACCTGACCCCAGCAAAGAAGCAGTTGTTGATCAGTGGGTGGAGTGGGAGAGTATAACCTTGCAGGTTAGTTTATTTTGTTGGAATCAAAGAATCCTTGGCTTTTATAACAATTATTATAAATTCCTATCACCAGTATATTCTACACAGTAGATCTATAAGTTCACCATAGCTTTTTCGTTTTAAGGTGACCAAAAGTCTTGTTTCTGATGACCATTTTATAATGTTAGGTTTCCAAATGGCAACTTGTAAAAAGAGTTGAGTTTAAGGGTCTGAACAGTGAAAGTTAAGAGTATAAAGGTTAAGGAAATTTCCAAATCAGCACAGGAGAATGAAGGATGGAGAAGATGAACATAAACTGCATATGATCAACTTGAAGAATTTCATATATTTTTGTTTTAATTGGGCACCAAGGTGCACATCTTTTGAAAAAGATATTTTAATTCATATGAATTGGGAGAAACCATGCATTACCTTCCATTAGGCTTTGCTAAGTGATGAAAGTGACAATTGTGATAAATTTCAATAAGCAACGTTGATTCTTCCCCTTTGATTTTTAATGTTAATATTTTTTTGACTATTAATTGTTCGTTGGCAATCTGTCATTGTTCTTGCAGCCTGTACTCTTCAAACATCTTGTATCATCTATTGGCCTGGGTAGGCAAACAAGCCGTCACTTTGATGATCTGATGAAATTACTGACACATGCTGATCAAGCCTTATCTGCTCACAAATTTTTCTCTGGGGTGGGTTCTTTTATAAATAATGTCACATTAAAAAAGTTTTGTATTGATATCCTAAGAAATTCTTACACCATGCAAAGCTACTTTACCAGCAAAGGCTACAAAAAAAATACCAATGTAGAAATTGGCAAAAGATGACCTGGTAATAACCCTTCTTTAATTTCTGGAAGCCCTTTGTCAAGAGAGGGGATACCCTAAAAGGTGTTTAAACTTGTTTTTACAGGTTATTCAGTGGGAATAAAAATATGGTTTAATGTAGGGAGAGTATTTTACATAGCAGCTGACACATCAATCTTTTTAGTATCTATGTTTTTGAATAGTAAATGGAAAAGGAGAACAGGGCTCAAAAGGTACCTGTAACACAATAGGCCATTTTAAACAATTGATTTTTTTCATTTTATTCCCCCTAACCTCAGAGCCATGTTGGAATTTTAATTTATCGAAAATGGCCTATTTTTGGGCCCCCATTTGACGCTTGAACATGAATTTTATGCAGCATTTTTATCAAATTGTGGAAATCCTGCAAAGCCACACTATTGAATAAACTGCACACTATTTGGCTTAGATAGAATTAAATAATGATAGTAGAGGCAATGGTATAAGAGGATTAACAAAGCTTGCAAAGGATAAACTTAGTTGACTTTGGATCAATTGTTCATTTACTTCTCAGGATCAACTTGGTTTAGCAGATGTCATTCTTTGGGGTTCACTTCATCCTTTGTTTATCTCTGATTCAAGCTTCTCTGGTAATAGTCATTTTTATTGTGTATTCTAGTAGTCTAGTTGCAATTTTACATTAAGTATCAAATATAGGTAAAAGTACTTGTTTTATTTATTTACTTGAAGCTGCAGATCCTCAGATGAACAACGTTAAAAGATGGTACGGCCACCTCATGTCTCAGGATGTTTTCCATAAAAGTTCTTCTGAGGTGACAGGAGGCAAAGGAGTATCTACTTTTAAGGTAACAAAAAGACAAAAGCTAGACATTTGTATAAGGGTAAATTTCAACAACAACATAATTTTCATGGGTCAAAATTCTCAGAGCAACATGGAAATGTTCCAGAATTTACCTTCTCCCCCTTAAACAGGTGAGACACAGCGTAGCCTGATGGTCTATGTGGCACACATAAGACCAAAGGTCCAGTTTCAGGAAATGGCCTTCAATCATTTTGATATATTTTTGGGCAGTACACTTTATTTACCTCCCTACCCAAGAGTATTGGGTACCATCCG